ACTGAAAACCCTCATGGCTCCCGGGCAAAATAAATCAAGGGCCCCCTTACAGGCCCCACCCATACTCCGCAGCAAGCGCCACCCTTGTCCCGCCTCCATGCAGCACCCTACACAATCTTTAGACACAAGGAACAAAAGTGCAACAATCCCTTCGAGGCCCCAGTTGAGACTACAATTGAAGGCTAATGGGCCATGGAGGAGGGTCTTTCTAGCAGAGGCTATCTCAGTGTCCTTTAGAGAGTGTGTTAGAAAGAATCCCCTTCAAGCCCCATTAGAGACTACAATGGAGTCTAATAGGCTTGGAAGGGGGTCTTTCTAACAGAGGCCATCTCAGCGTCCATTAGATAGCCCCTGCTGGAAACAGTCGCCTCCAGGCCCCAGTAGAGACTACAACTGAGGGCTAATGGGCCATGGAGGGGGGGTCATTCTAGCAGAGGCTATCTCAGTGTCCTTTAGAGAGTGTGTTAGAAAGAATCTCCTCCAGGCGCCATTAGAGACTACAATGGAGTCTAATGGGGCCTGGAGGGGGGTCTCTCCAACGCTCTGGTTCCTATTCACAATATAGCAACACAACATAGCTCGCTGATACCTAGGCCAAGTTGGCTCCTCTTACCTTAATTACTGTTGCTGGCTGGTAGTCTGTGGGCTTGCTGACTGAGGCTGGCAGGCTGTGGGCTTGCTGGCTGCGGCTGGCAGGCTGTGGGCTTGCTGGCTGCGGCTGGCAGGCTGTGGGCTTGCTGGCTGTGGCTGGCAGGCTGTGGCTTGCTGGCTGCAACTGGCAGGCTGTGGGCTTGTTGGCTGTAAGCCTGTGGCTTGCTGTAGGCCTGTGGGCTGGCTACTGGCCTGGCTGGCCTGTGGGCTGGCTAACTGGTGGCTTGTGGGCTGTCTGTGGGTTGGCCGGCTGGCCGGCCTGTGGGCTGGCTGGCTACTGGGGCACTTGTAGATTATTTAAAGAAATAATCCATGCAAAATAACCACTACTGCTCTGTGTAGTGGTTATGGTGCAAGGAGGGCCGGGCCCCCCTCCCAGAGTAAGTAGTCAAACCGTTTGAGAACGATTTGACAACTTACCTGGGGTCTGCTGGGATATGGGGCTGTAGCAGGTTATAGGAGCAGTGGTGCAATGTGTGAGGGGTGCAGTGTATGTGTGAAAGGTTCAGTGTGTGTGTGGGGGTGTAGTGTGTGAATGTGTAGGGTGTGTATGTGTTTGGCAATGTTAGTATGGGGGGTTGTGTATGGGGGTCTGTGTGTATATGGGTGGGTAGTGTATGTGTGTGTGTGAGGCAATGTGTGTAAATGTGTATGGTGTATGTGGGGGCAGTGTGTGTGTATGGGGGGCAGTGTGTGAATGCGTATGGTGTGTGTGTGGGGGCAGTGTGTTTATGGGGCTAGAGTTCACTCTCACCACTGCGACCACCAGGAATCCCTGGTGGTCACAGTGTTGAGAGTGCACTCTAGCCCGTAGCTCCAGGGCTAGAGTTGAGTCTCGCAAGAGCGGTAACATTGCCATGGTAACCGTGGCAACACTCTGTGCTCACGCAAGAAGGACCCAGAGGAGCTGCAGGCTGAGCTCCCGGGTCCTCTCTTCCTCCCTCCCCTGCCGGCTGCCCGCACGGTGCCTGCAGACAGGGGAGGGGGGGCAATTGCCCCGTTGCACCCCTGGATCCACCAGTGATATATACAGCCCTTCTGTGTGCCTTTTTGTCTCCCCCCGTACCTCTGTATGTTTCTTTCTCCCCCTCACTGCTCCTGTGTCTATGTCTCCCCTCTCCTTCCCAGTCTCTCTTACCCCTCTGCCTCTTTCTCCCCCTCCCCTTGTGTGTCTCTCTACTTTCTCCCTGTCTCTCTCTCTTCCAGTGTTTCTTTCTCCCCCCTTTCTCTGTCTCTTTCTCCCCCCTCCCCATCTCTTTCTCCCCATGTCTCATTCTTCCCTCTCTTTCTCCTCCCTCCCCATCTCTCTATTCCCCCTCTTTCTCCCCCTGTGTCTCATTCTTCCCTCTCTTTCTCCCCTCACCATCTCTATTCCCCTCTTGCTCCCCCTGTGTCTCATTCTTCCCTTTCTTTCTCTCCCCATCTCTCTATTCCCCTATTTCTCCCCTGTGTCTCTATTTCTTCCCTCTCTTTCTCCCCCTCCTATCTCTATTCCCCCTCTTTCTCCCCCTGTGTCTTATTCTTCCCTCTCTTTCTCCCCCCTCCCAATCTCTTTATTCCCTGGAACTCACACTGCCGCTGGGGAGGAAGGACGACACTTTCGGCTCCCTGGAACTCACACTGCCGCTGGGGAGGAAGGACGACACCTTCGGCTCCCTGGAACTTCCACTGCCGCTGAGGGGGTAGGGCGACACCTTCAACTCCCAGGAACTCCCACTGCCGCTGGGGAGGAAGGACGACACCTTCGGCTCCCTGGAACTCCCACTGCCGTAGGGGAGGTAGGACGACACCTTCGGCTCCCTGGGACCCACACTGCCGCTGGGGAGGAAGGATGACACCTTCGACTCCCTGGAACTCCCACTGCTGCTGGGGAGGAAGGACGACACCTTCGGCTCCCTGGAACTCCTACTGCCGCTGGGGAGGAAGGACGACACCTTCGGCTCCCTGGGACCCACACTGCCGCTGTGGAGGAAGGACGACACCTTCGGCTCCCTGGGACCCACACTGCCACTGGGGAGGAAGGACGGCACCTTCGGCTGCCTGGAACTCCCACTATGGTTGGCGATCTGGGTTGGCTGCCCAGCATCCCGGTAGGGCCGGTAGAGAGAACTCGATCCCATCTCCACCTGCCGACTGGGGGTCTTCCCAAGACCAATCTATGAGGTCCTGGTACTCCTGCTCCAGATCCCATTCCCTGATGGGCAGATTAATCAGGTCTGGCTCTAGGTCTTCATTCATAGGGAGATCTAGCATGTCTGCTCTGGATTCATGTATGTCCCATAGCTGTGACTCTGCAGCATCCCTGAATCTTGGTCCGGCAAAGGCGTCCCATAATAGGCCAGGGCCATTGTAATCCTCACCCTCTGGTCTGGCATATGTAGTCCTCCCGGGAACACGCTGAACTGCATACCAATGTAGCGCCTGGTATGCGTTGTCGAGCCACAGTTCCCTCTGTGCCAGTGACTCAAGTGACATCACCAACTCCCACCTGGGCTGTTCTCCCAGCTTAGGCATCCACAGGGCCACTTAGGCCTGTAATTGCTGCTCCTCACTTGGGAGTCCCTCACCTCGCCAACGCTGGACACCCTCCAGGGCTTCGTCCCACATTTCTTTCCTGACGTACTCTCTGTAGTCCAACGGGGTCGCCTCTGGTACTGGCTGGGAACCGGGGGATCTGGGTGAACCACATATCCAAAATTCACCCAGATCCATTCAGTAGTTTGGAAGATACGGTTTTATGCAAATTCCGCAGAACATATATAGGCTATATGAAAAATAATTACTGTTAAATGTGTCCCCTGTTCTGTAGTTTAAAACTACTGAACGATGTCTTTGTGCACCAAATACCAGTGAGATGGCACCGTGTAGAAAAGTCAAAACAGTGTCTGGGAGTTAAAATGGCTGCCATCCATTGTTCTCACCATGTGCTTCATCCATTGTTCTCACCATGTGCCTCTGATACATGAAATGGTGGCCACCCAGTAACTCCACAGTATGTCCCCAGATGGTTCTTAAAGGGCCAGCAGCAGCATAGTAAAATACAGTATGCCCAAATCAGTTCCTTAAAGGGCAATACATCCCAGGGCTATAGTTGCAGGGCAGGAGGCTGGCAAACAGCCCTTCCAAAACCCAGTGGCGAGTTCACTTTAGCCACAGTAGACATTGAATGAAGTTTGTAGCTTCAACTTCAACTGTAATATTTTGATGGGCACTAGAGTTGAGCAAACCCGAACATGACGTTTTTTGGACCCCGGTCCCGAACACGGACATATCAGTGTATGTTCGGGTTGGAGTTCGGTGTTCGGTGATTTAATGGCGCATTTTGAAAGGCTGCAGGGCAGCCAATCAACAAGCGTTTGACTTGTGTGCCCTTAGAAGCCATCACAGCCATGCCTACTAATGGCATGGCTGTGATTGGCCAGTGCAGCATGTGACCCAGCCTCTATATATAAGCTGGAGTCGTATAGCGCTGCACGCACATGAGGTCTTATTAGTGTAGGGAGAGGATGCTGCCGATGATAGTAACAGCTTAGGAAAGAATTCTGCAAATTAGTACATTAGTGGGGTGCACTTCATATCTGAGAATCAAATAGAAGCTTCAAATACCGCGGTTACATGAGAGTTTTAAAAAGTCAATTTTTTTTGGTGCTAAATAGTACATTAGTTGAATAGTACATTAGTGGGGTGCACTTCATATCTGAGAGTCAAATAGAATCGTCAAATACTGCTGTCACATTGCAGTTTTGAAACTTAAAATTTTTGGGGTGCTAAAAAGTAAAATAGTGGAGTGCACTTCATATCTGAGAGTCAAATAGAAGCGTCTAATAGTGTGCTTACAGCGCAGTGGTAAACATTCTTATTTTCTGGGTGCTAATCTGCTAAATAGTACATTTGCGGACTGCACTTCATATCCGAGAGTCAAATCGAAGCGTCTAATAGTGTGCTTACAACGCAGTGGTAAACATTCTTATTTTCTGGGTGCTAATCTGCTAAATAGTACATTTGCGGCCTGCGGTGCACTTCATATATAAGATGTGACATTCACTGTAGCGGCCGTGCACGCATTTGGTGTTCTCCCCCTGCTGCTGCTCGCCTGTCTGCGCTGCAGTTTAACATTGGCCTTCCCGCTCACTGCCTCATATGCGACGTGCCCACAAAGTGGAACTCCACCTTGCACATGCTGGAGAGACTGTTTGAGCAGCAGCAGGCGATAGTGGAGTTTTAGCTGCAGCACGCACGGGTCAGTGGCTCTGCACCAGACTTCCCTCCAATTGATCAGAGTTAAAGGATTTCAAGTGGACTCATAACAATTACAGGGCCTCTAAAGAGTCCTGTATTGTTATTTGTCGTCACTACCTTCCCGCATCGGGAGTGGGTCATTTGCACGCCTGCTGCCTTCCTTGCATGTGGTAGCCGTTTCTCAGGGTCCCTGATTCCCCGTTACCCGTGGTCACCATGGCAGGAGCAGAAACTGGCATCGAAAGTTGATATGGATGACATCCAAATGCAAAGTCGCCGTCACGGGGATGTTCGATTGGCCCGAGGTTCTCTAGAGTCAATAAAGTGCCTGTTTAACTATAATGTCAACAGCTACTCTGCGGAACAGAGTTGTCTTTTTTATATGTCCCAATATTTTTGGGGGCTACCCCAATTAAAATAAAATAATATATATATATATATATATATATATATAAAAACAGTGTTGGCTACCTCCTCCTCCACCGCCACTTCCACCTACACCGCCACGGTCACCGCCTCCTCTACCTATGGGTCACTTAGTATAAACTATGTACACAATAGCAGAGGCTTGTGAAGGCCTTTTCTCCAAGCATCAGAAGTTGAGCTCAGTTTGAACAATGAAAGAGAATACCCTGCACTCCATCCCTCTCTCAAATGGATAATTCTGTTGATCCTCCTGACAGCCATGCTTTAGATTCTGATTTATGTTCTTCCAAAGCTAAAATCAAAGATTCCATCTAGTGCTATTTTATGGCTCAGTTGTATTTTTTATTTTTATGTTATTTTAAGTGATTTCCCTATCCACATTTGTTTGCAGGGCATTTGTCCTACTCTTACCCCCATTTTACTTCCTTTGGCAGCCCTTTCCAGGAGTTGTTTAGAGGCATTTTTGTGCCCAAACGTTCAGGTCACCATTGACTTCAATGGGGTTCGGGTTCAGGGTCAAGTTTGATCCCGAACTCTGACTTTTTTTCAAAGTTCGTCCGAAACCGCCGGACCCGAACATCCAGGTGTCCGCTCAACTCTATTGGGCACCCATATGGAAGTGTGCAATAGAGGTATAGGACATGGGGAAGGGTCATCATCTTAATCATATTGATCCGTCCTAATCAGGATATGTCCTTATCTTGCCAAGTATCCAATTGGGCTTTGAGTTTATTCAGAAGTGGAATATGGTTTTCTTTAATTAAGTGCTGGTGGGATTTCATTAAATTAATGCCTAGGTATTTTTAGGTGGTCTTTCACCAATCAAATGGGTAAGTGTGTTGTAGATCAAGCAAGACAGTGTTGGGAACACCTATTGGGAGTGTTTTGGATGTATTGTTTTTGTAAAAGGCGACACAGCCGTATCTTTCTAAAAGTGTTAGAAGACACGGTATGGATTATTCTGGGTGAGTTAAAAACAGTAGGATGTCATCTGCAAACAGCATGAGTCTCTGTTCTCCCATTGGCATTTGAAGGCCCTTGATTTCTTTCTGGGCTTTGATGTGGTAGACCAGGGGTTCTAGACAAAGGATAAAAATAAAAGGGGACAATAGCAATCAGGCAGGTATTTTAGGACATGTATTACAATCCAAACACTTTAGCAAACAAACAGAAATAATACCGCAAAAACTGAAGAGGGGTTTATAAATTAATCCTTTTATTGCTCTTTAAATAGAGTTATACATCAATCAAACCTGCATTAATGGATACTATTTTAGAATCAGTACTTTTTATTTATTGACACTGTGTATTTTCTCCTCTTTCTCATTTGTTATATGGAGACACTTCCTGAAAAAGTATTCTAATACCATCAGGATAACGTATATAGTATTGCTGTAAATTACCCTGTGGCAAACCTAGCCAATTGTAATATTCTGGACTATGTGCATAAAAAGGTTGCCTGTATTAATCCCTGTAACTTCTTGTACAACCTGGCTGTACACTGTGTGTTAATGTATGTTTGCATTGAATTCGTATGCTAGCAGCCGAAAGCCGCTAGCTTTCATGTGTTTCATTTCACGAACAGCAACCTTACAGGCTGTTCGTGAACCGAATGAGCTACTCCCTAATAGCCCACACAGAGAGGGACGTGTGGCGCTCATTAACCGATTGCAACAGTGTTGCAATCGGTAATTAGAGGCTTTCCTAGGTGGCCGTCGTTCGGCTACCGACCACGCGGCAGGCGGCCTTTTTGGATCCTTTGTCTCACCAGCGGGGTTTGGTCGTCGAGCGCGTGGAGCCGAAATTGGCTACTCAACGGCGCGAACCCCGCTGAACTTCCAGGCCGTTCGGGAGCTCCGGTATTTCCCTATTACAGTTCCCCATCGGTGTTCGGTAATTTCAGACGAACTCATGGGCAAAGTGTAGTTCGGTTGTTTTAGCTGGGATCTGAGCGGTATTCTCACGAAAGGTGCGCTCAGACCCCAGCTATCTACCGAACGTCCATTCGTTTAAATCACTCAAGTATTATAAAAGTTATACAATTTAATGTAAAATGTTGGTTCTGCTGGACCGAGAGATAATCCACTAAACGGTACATTCCAGTGGGAGTATCCCTCTCGTCCAGCAGTGCCTGATGGGAGAAAAGATCTGAATGTTAAGTCCCCCATGTAGTCCCCTACTGTATTACCCCTGCTATGTCAGTATGGAAACCCCTTGCATGGGGATTTGCATAAATACTGGATGCTGTGAATAAAAACCTGAGTTGACTCCCAAAACTGTGTTTCGTCCGGTTACTGGGGGATTTGGGGATATTGCCTTACTTTTCAGCGCTTGACTGTGGATTACCCTCTTTACCAGCGGAGATCGTGGGATTTAATATTGCCACTCCGCTACATACCCCATCCCCAATATGGTATTATCGGGCAAAGGTGGAATAATGTACACATATTAGTTGTGTAAACGTTAATTCCTGGTAGAGACAACCATTTGCCCGGAGAGAAGATGGGGAGTTAAACCTCAGACGTGACGCTGCTTCCGTGCAGTGAGTCACTTCCGGGAACGGATGCATTGAACAAATAGAGAACAGCTGATATTAACACACTTACGGAATACTGGACTCCTGTATCTGTAATAAAGGGGAAAGTGCCACCAGTCGGCACTACTGCGGAAGAGACTTGAGCCTGTCCTATTCAAGGCTCTACTCCATGTGAGTTGTTAATCTGCAACGTATCTAAGTTTCACTTTCACTATAGAAATATGCTATGTATTTTTCCTATTTTTTTCTTGCATTTACGTATTAATATCTGCTGGATTGAAACATCATCCAAATCTGGTAATATTTGACAGACTCCCATTTAGGGTAGGTGGTCAATTATTTCCACTGTTTTATACACGCCCCCACTCTTAAGGATTATAGCTCTTTGGGCTATAATCCTTTTCCACTTTTCTTGTATGCACAATTTACATTATTGTTTACCATTCCCTTGCTTCCATACCTTTTTGGTGCAATGGGGGTGGCTTCAGTGGGCTGGCTGGTGCTGATGGGAATCTGAGGCTGTCCAGGCTGCATGTCAGCAATGCTCCCTCCTTCTCCCTGTGTGCCTCTTCCATCCTCACAGCCTGCGCTGTCCTTATGCTTGGAGGAAGTGACAGGTAATGAATTAATAAGTCACACTCATTAATGAGTTAATTAATGTGAGTGGTAGTAATTGTATCAGAAAACGTGTGCCAGCATGTTTGTATCGGTCATAGTTTGTGTCAGTGTATGTTAAACATACAAAAAACAATTTAATGAGTGTGTGTGCATTGGTGATTGTGTGAAAGTGTGTGTGTCCATGAGAATGTGCGTGAATTGGGGATTGTGTCAGTATGTGCCAATGCTTTTAAATGGGTTACTTTTTGAGTGTCAGTGTGAGCACCAGTGGGTGTTTATGAGTGTATGTGTGGGCACTAATAATGTTGTGTCACTGTGTATGTGCCAGTGTGTGAGCATGTGTATGTGAGAGTGTGTAAGCATGGGTCAGTGAAACTGCATATCTTTGAACGTTATTGAGTGTGTGTCAAAAAGTGCATCCATTCTCAAAAATATTTTTCAAGATTTATACACACATGTATTACAATATGTATTAAACCAAGAGAACTGCACTCATCTGAACATACATAGATAATAAGGTTGCTGCTTAGATGGACCACAAAACAAATGTTTAATTTAGTCATTTAGATAATTGATATGAAAAGCGAAGACTCATGGGTAGGGGACAGTAACTAAATTTGAATTTATTCACTGATAAATCAAGTGGCCATTAAAGTGATCACTAAAGGGAAAAAGTCAGAATTAGAAAAAATCTATATATCTATAGTATATATTTAGTAGGTATATAACATACTATTATAAAAATATAGATTTTTGTTTACTGCTCCCCTTCTTTGACTTCATTTGTTACTTTTTCTCACTTGAACTGTGAACCAAATTGTGACTCTATGCACCAATTAGTTTACTGAAAAATATATATATAATATTAATACTATGTAAAAACAGTACAATGATTTTCATGCTATTTTGTCTTGTCTGATTCAGCCATCCCAAATATTTTGTTATTTTCAGCACAATTTATTTTATCATGCACAAGTCTATTAGATTCCTTCTAACATTGATTGACTACAACAACTCTAAGGTTTTATTCATTCTAAAATGTTTTGTGCTGTTTGGAAGACATATAGTATGTCAATTTTTATGCTAATGCCCATATAAACAGAATAGAAAACTATATTTTCATCTAGTACTATTTATAATGTACTAGAACATCTTTTTTAGCATGTGGATTTGATTTAGAATGGTACCCAAAAGGAATTTCAGTACATGATGTTTGACATCAGTGCGAAAGACAATTAAGGTCACAGACGAATGTAACCCTTACTATGTAAGTGGGAAATTGATTAATATAATATTTGAGACTAATATAAACCAACAGCTTAGAAGGACAATATGCTTTTTGCATATAGCACCCTAGATACCCATGCAAATTTGTTATTATTCTCAGAAGGCAGTGTGTAAAGAAAAGCAAAATTGCATCCTGTGATTTTAAACTTATTACATCATTTATGCAATTTCCTAACTTATTGTGACAGAGCACATGTGATACAAACAGGCTATTAACCATTACGGGTAAGACTGGCAGTCTTCCAACACATTAAAAATCTACTGTGGATGTCTTATATGATGAAAGTGGGAAGGAAGTTTATATGGAGATAAAAAAAATAGAAAAATGTTAATTGCATTGCTAGACATACTGCAACAGGATCTTGTTTCCTTTACACACAAACATCAGTAAACAAGATTTGATTCTTATTTTAAAACAAATGCCCCCCCATCTGCCTCCATTAACCAGTCTCCACTAATAACTATGAGTTACTTTTAAGGATGTGTTCTTACCGATGAGCAACTAAATACAATGTTTGATTTTTGCCTGAGCTCTTCTAGCTTGTTGTTGTTCTTATTGATAGCCACTTCCACTGACTACTTTCTTTCTTGTTTATCGTTTGATCTGGCGTGTACTTTGGCTATATACCTATACCTC